CTGTTCCCAACACAGTTTTAAAGCCAGGGGTCCCCCAACAAGTTTCACCTCAGGCAGGGGGTCAGAGATGGAAACTGTAGCCTCCTGCTTGGCTTAGACAGCAAAAAAAATTTTAAATACCTGCTTATTATGCCAGAATTTTTTTTTAATTCCAGGAAGAAATTTTCATATATATAAAATTTTAAAATATTCACTAAGTTACTTGCTAAATTCTGTTTTAAACAAATGGACACGCTGTGTTGTAATGGAAGGCAGGAATATGGTTTACAAGACATTTTTTAAAAAATCAACATCTTTACATATTAAGGACCAAAAACATCCTGCACTAAAAATAAAGTCAACAGAAGACACACACACACCAAAAAGCCCCTATTGTTCAGCGTGTGGCAGGATGCCTGAGCAGTGGCTCTGAGATGGCTGTCACACCGTGACATGCCTGCTGGGCCCTGCCAGGAGACAGGGACACGCAATAAGCCCTGCTACTCACAGTGGAGCACAGTGTAGACCACCAACACTGGTCCCTACCACCTGCAAGATTCACATGCCAAAAAAAAAATCCCCCAGAAGGGCAGCTTATGTTTAATCTACCAGGAGGTAGATGCAGAAACTCTGCCATACCTTGGCCACTTGCCACTACCCTGGCCTCACAGCGACTCCCCCAAAGCACTGTGTCTGCAAAAACTACAAGATTCCTAACACACTTCCCACCTGCAGATGTCCTGCCAGCTAGACCCTGCACCTGTCAGAAAGCGACCACAGCAGTGACACACACGACACGCACAGCATTACCCCTAGCTACAAGGCCATGCATGCTCAGAGCCTCCTCCATTGTGCTGACAGCCCGGGGAATGGCGTCCACCCAGACCATCCAGGGCAACTCCAGATTTCCCCAGCTTAGGGCTGGTATTGGACTTTCAGGAAGGTAGCTTCCCAGAGCTACCTCCCAGGGCTGGGATCCTTCTGGGTGCTCCCTTGGCCCTACTGGCCCACATCTGTCTGATGTGCTCCTCAGATGGACATGGGCACAAGCTGTTCAGGAGTCTTGCTGCAAGTCCTCTGGCCCAGCAGTGAGAGGGCAGAGGGCATGGAATGAAAACGTTCAGCTGCAGCACCCTCTGGTGGGCAGAGCAGCATGTGGTGGCCACGTGGCTCCCACCTGGAATCAGAACTACCAGGAAGCTGGGAGCACAGTTCCCATGGCCCCATCTACCCATAACCTTGCTCTGCTCACTTGCAAGGTCCAATCTCCTCTCTCTAGGTGAGGCAGGTGCTTGGGAGGGCCCTGAGTGGACCCCTGTCCCATGGGGAGAGGTGGGTGATGGGGACCCATGAGACCAGGTGGGCAGCAGGGGAGAAAGACTGGTTACCCATGCAGCAGCATACAGTTCAGTCACAAGATTGGGGCACCTCTGATCTGCACAAATATGGGCCCTGCTGAGGTGGTCCCAATAGAGGACAGGAAGGACAGGTGCTCTATCAGCCAGAACACTCTTACCTCCTTTCTTGAACATTTCAACTACAGAAAGAGGCTCACACAAGGGAGTGGACACAGGGAGAGGAGCCCTCTTAGGGCACCAGTAACCCCAGGGTGAAGCTGCATACTCTGCCCGACCTGCACCCCAGGGTCACAACCACCTTTGCTCCCCAATGGGTTCTGCCTTCTGTGATGTCACGCCTGAGAGAGGACTGAGTTTGAACACACACCGTTTCTTTTCTTTGAGTCGGTATCTCACTCTATCACCTATGATAGGAATGCAGTGGCACAATCATGGCTTACCACAACCTCAAAAACCTGGGCTCAGGCGATCCTCCCACCTCAGCCTCTCAAGTAGCTGGGACTACAGGTGCATGTCATCACACCCAGCTAATTTTTTTGATTTTTTGTAGAGTCAAGGTCTCACTAATGTTACCCAAGCTGGTCTCAAACTACTGGGCTCAAGTGGTGCTCCTGCCTTAGCCTCCCAAACTACTGGGATTACAGCGAGCACCACCACACCTGGCCAGCGTTTTTCTTATTGTGGATGACGGCATCCCACCAGTGGAGGCAGCACTTCTGCCTGGTGCTCTCTCAAGACTGAAACAACCCTCACTCCTCAGTGTGGTGAAACCAAGCCTGGTTCAGTCCATTGTAAGATTAAACAATGTTTTAAAAATGGACTCAAACAAGTTTAAGGACAGGACATGAAACAAAGCATCTTTTTTATAACTGTTGACATATATTGCGAAAACAACACAGACATACACAATTACCATAGCAGGACTAGGCAATGATTTAAAGTTGACTTTAAAAAGGATCATACTGTGTAATTCATCTGTAAGGGCTACAGGAAGAGGTTTGAAAAACTGGATTAAGAAAGTATTAAAATTCTGTACCCTGATAATAAGCAGACAATGCCCTCATCTTAAAATAAATTATGATTATTACTTTGCATGTTATTAAATTATGGAAAATAAAAAAACAAAGATTAATTCTAACCTGCTCTGCTCTTCTCACTTGCAAAGTCTAATTCCCTCTTTCTAGGCAAGGCAGGTGCTTGGGAGGGCCCTGAGTGAATCCCCGCCGTATCAAAAACCACTGCCAATGCCTATGGTTAGTATCTTGGATGGGAAACTGGAAATGAAGATCACCCAGGACCCCTGCTCGAAGGATGAGACATGGAGCAAGTCCATGTGGAAAGGAACCTAAGACAGCAAACTTCAGCAATGCCATGAGTAAGGAACACTTGGCTCGTGGAGTGGATGTCAGATGTTTTTCCCATAGAAGCTAGCATTATTTCTAACATTATTTCTATAAAACCCCACATCCACGAAGGCATTATCTGTTCTTAGAAACCCCCAGTCTCCTTCTGCCTGGTCATGTGGCTCAGGCTATAACCTCCCCTGTTTTGGGCTGCACAGCCAAAGGAGACAGAAGAGAAAGTTTATTGTGCCAGAGAGTTCGTGATTTTACAGGAAGTACCCGGAGGTGCAGTCTTCGTCATCATTCTACATAGACTACAAGGAAGTCAAAGAATGAGCCCTCACACAGGAACTCCGTTCTCAAAGGAGGCTTAAAGAACAAACACTCAATCAGAGCACACTGCTGTGATGCCTACTGTACCCGGGATGGGCCCCACACCCAACACTGTCTTCCCAGGGTGAGGTTTTTACCATCTCACTGAAGAGAAGAACATTTAGGTTCTTTCCCCAGTCCTATACTTGCTCCTGATATTTAAAAAAAAAAGAAAGAAAGAAAGAAATCAATCCTGGTGGTCGGCAATGTGGTGCAAGCCCTGTCTCCACTTGGCAGTGACAGTAATTCCAGTTAAAGGCCCTATGGAGGCCCAGGGCCCCAGGTGACTTTGGTGGGTCCCTCTGCTTGCCCACTGGGGAGGCCACCTCCCTGCCAGGCTCTGGTCACAGCCTTCCTTCCTTCTGCTGGTCCAGCAGGGTTCTGTGGGGACCAGTAGCCCCAGGGCTCAGAGGAGCCTGCCACCTATGGCCTCAGAGCCAGGAAACATGGCAGGGAAATCCATGCCCGACTTGCTGGCCACGGTGGGGGAGCAGGGCCCAGTCTGAGCACAGCTGCCAGGCACACAACACATGGGCATTAAGACACTCAGAATGGGGTGAAGGAGGAAGAAGGAAGATGGGATGGGTCCACAAAGTCCATGTGGACACGCAGCGCCTCATTTAGGGCATTTCTCAACAGAGTGAGGAACGCACTCCAGTAAGCGTCTTCCTGGAAGACACTGGAGCTGCCTTAGAGGAAAGTATGGTCTTTGGGAGGGGGCCCACCTATTGGGAGAGTGAGGATGGCCTTTGCAGAGTCTGCTTCCTGGGGGCCATATGGGCCCCCACTTCCATTTCTCTACAGGCTGTGACTTCCCTGGAGATGCACACCTCTGCACCTCCAAGGCTGGATGCCCAGCCTAGGAGATGGGCATCCCCCCTGCAATCATGCCTAGAGAGAGTTCAAACTCTGGGCAAAATGGCACCAGGGACCAGAAAGGTCACACCTGAGCAGTGGACGACTGGCCTTGCATCAGAGCTAATGCTGTGGCCTTCACTGTCCCAGCCTACCCGAGGGGTCTGAGAGTTGCCTCTGCCGCCTCCATCATGCCAATACCTCCCCTTTGGGAACACACCTTCGGAGATGTCTGCAGCTTCAAGAAAGGGCCTCTTGCCTCCCCGCACAGAACACAGAACTGCAGGTGGGGTGGGCAGGGGACCTGGGTTAAATCTCCCAGCTGTGGGTGCAACAGGTGCTCACCTCTGTCCTCTGTTCCTGTCTGTACACAAATACTTATGGCTCCATGTGTTGTCACTGGCAGTGTGTGGCAAACGAATGGTGCTTAGTCTGCCGCATCATAGTTTTTAGGTGAGTTTTCACAAGGAACCCAATGTGGTGGTCTTCCCCGAACTCACACACCATCCTCGCCCCACGGCGACCTTCACTCATTAGCACCTCCCTCATGCCACTCAGCAGACTCGCAGGAGACACTTGTGAATTACAGGAGGTCCTGCTGACATTTGTGAGACCTGAAGACTGACACAAATTTGCTGGGTCCTGGAAAGGTCCCAGCTGATGCACCCACGGCACCTGTGTGAGTCTGGGCAAGCTTGTGTTAACCCTTTCCATACAAATAATGGCGTAAGATCCAAAATCCCCAGGGCCCAAACAAGCAGCAAATTAAGAAAACAAAAATTCTGATACAGGAACAAAGAAGGTGAGACCAGAATGATCATGAAGATATTTGGCATAATTCTTCCTGACGCTAACCATTAACGCCCAATTCGTGCTCAGAGATGCAAAGACTCAGAGGCTACCCCAGGCCCAGCCCCTACAGGACAGGGCTTCTGTGCAGTGGCAGCCAGCAGCCCACACAAGGTTCCACAGGGCAGTGGGCATGGCCTTTGACCCCATCCTCCCACGTAGGACTCCCCTGAGATGGCAAACAAGGGCTGGTCTCCCCTGAGGCCCAGGAGTCCCAGGGGAGCTGGGTTTTCAAATCCCAAAATTCTGTGACCACTTTGTTTACAAAGCACGACTGGCACTTTTCCACAATGAAGACCAGTTGATGCTGGATACTTATGAAAGAAAAAAAGATCAAGTTTCGGTCATAGCTCTAAGGCAGACATTACATTTTTTCACAGGAACAAACACAGAGACACCAACGCACTGTGCGTCGCAGAGGAGTAGAGCGGCCTCACAGCACCGCAGCCTGGACAACAATCTCTGGGTCCTCGATGTCCCTTTTGCTCTGAACCATTCTCAGCTCCAGCTGCGCAGGGCTAGGCCTCAGTCCTTCCCCAGCCTGAGCTGCAGAACAAGCAAAAGGTTAAAGAGAGGAGTGGGAGAGTGGGGGGGTGGGGGGGTTCCTTCCTCCTTCCTGAGTTCTCAAGTCAGAAGGGGGCTCTACCCTGCTGCCTACTGCCCACTAGAGCCACAACCAGGTCATTCCCTGGAAACCAGCAGGTGTTGTATCTTCCCTCCCACTGACTTCTGGGGCCTGGGCCCCTCTCTCCAGGGGCAGGTAGAGGCCTGGAACAGCACTGCTGGAGTACCTTTGGCACACTGGATGGTCCTCTGCAGAACGTGGTGCATGGCTGATACCGTCTTCTCGCAGGCCACCTGTGGGGAAAAGAGACATGCTGTGCACCCGCCTCACTCAGGGCTCCTGAAGTGTTCTCCACTGCCTAGAGGGGATTTCCAGTAGACATAAGCACTGTCCTGTCCTCCAAGCCACCGGGGAGCCAGCTCTGACAGCACACACACTCCAGCCTTGCAGGGCAACCTGCCAGACAACCCACCCAGAGATCCAAAGAGGTAACCAGATATCTGTGCACTGGCCATCTCCCACTGGACCAGACAGCTCACAGAAGTGCTCTCATAACTTCCACATCGCCTGGCAGGTACCAGTCACCAGTGAGAGTTTCTGGAATTAATCAGTTATGGAGGACCTATAAGAAAAGAGCTCCTGCCAAGCTCAGTCACGGTCATCACTCACTGGCATCTCTAGGTCAAAGGCTTTGGGGGCTCAGAAAGTATTGGGGGTACACGGGATACTTACAACCCAGCTCCATAACCCTGGACTGGCGGAATCGAGGACATGGCCTTGTACACCCTAGCAATGAAGCTTCCTGGGTACCAGGTGACACATTTCCACTGCCCTGTACCAAATGAAGCCCCTGCTGCTGCCAATTAAGCACTGCAAGCCTGACTCACTCTTCGCCCTTGAGAGGCAGAAGGGACAGAATGGTGAGGGGACCGCACATTCCAGCTTCAAGGTCAGGATCTACAGTGGGCTTGTCCCATGGCAGGAGAAGGGCTATGGTCCACATGCCTCATTTTACAAATCAGGAGTTGGAGACTTGGCCAAAACTGACCTCCTGGGGAGGGTTGGGCTCCCCCAGACTGTGAAATGTGGCCCCTGGGGGTGGCTGGCAAAGGCAGCACAGGGGCGCCACTTTCAGATCCTGACTTAGCCCTTGCGTGAGCACACTCCCTGGTGAGGAAGGAGTCGTCTTCCTCCTGCCTCTTCCCCAAATTCCAAAGGGACCCCACGCTGTCCACAGTGAGAGACACCCAGAGGAGTGTGACGGGAAGAGCCTAGGGCTGGGAACGATCTTTGTGCAAGCTGGGGCTCTCAACAGCACTGAAAGAGGACACAGACCATGGGGCTGACAGAATCATTTCAAAAGGCATCACGATGCAGGAGGCCACAGACAGAGTGGGCACAGTTACAAAATTGCTCTGCCCCCATCAAGCTACTGTGCTTAGCCATGTAGCAAACCAGAAAGGACCCCATCATGTCACACCCCAAATTACCAAGTCAGTCCACCAACGAGTCCATGCTGCCCGATCTCCACACAAATGTGTAAAGCAGACAGACATCCAGAGAGTCCCCAGAAAGATGGGCCTCCATGCCAAGTCTGACTAGGACTGCCTACCCTAGCCCTCATCCCTGGCCCCCACCTCTTGGTCCCTGAAGAGTGATCCAGTTTTCAGTCCCTCACATCGCTGTGGCAGTTACATTATAGAGAACACTGCACTGGGCTGCTCTCTGGGAGCAGTCTTTCGATTACTAGGGATGCCACCGCCTGGCACCTTGCAGCCTTGCACCAAGGCCGGGCGGGTATGTCTGATTCAATGTAAGATACCCTGAGGGGGTATTCTGAACACATTCTCCCACCTGAGTCCCAGCAAATTCTGATCGTCCTTACTTTCCAAATGAAGGGAGACAGGAGGCGATTCCATGGTGATGGGGTGATTCTGGAGTCTGTGGCCCAGCCACTACTCTCCCAACCCCAGCTGTGGCCAGTGCTTAAGGCCAGACCCTGCTGACTCCTCCAGGTCCTCCTGCTCCCCCTCTGACTCACTGAAACCTGCTCCCCAGAAGGCACGTGTCGCTAACCTTGAGATTGTTGGGGTGCTTGTGTGTCCACGCCAGGAGCATGGCGGCAAAGAGGTCCCCAGTGCCCACGAAGACGGCGTCCACCTTGCGAATGTCCATGCGGATGCGTTCTGTTACCATGGAGCCATCAGGCCTCTCTGGGGGGAGAAAACAGGTAAGGCCACTGGGACCTGAGACTCCACAGCAGGAGAGGCCAGCCTCCTCATCCCTGCTCCCCTCCAGGCACAGCAGCAGAGAAGGTCACATGGACAGAGCATGGGGTGACCTTGTTCAAGACCTGGAGTTCAGAGCATGCCCAGTGCCCTTGAGGTCCCCACACAGCTGTCATCCATGACTCAAAGGAGAAAGACTGAGACCTCAGAGATCAATAAAAGGACGGCCTTGGGGCACACTGTGCAACTCTCCAAGGGGCACAAAGAACTAGGAACTGTCTAGACAAGCTGAAGAGTGAGTGAGAGTGAGAGAGAGAGAGAGAGAGAGAGAGAGAGAGAGAGAGAGAGAGAGAGCGTGTACGCACATGCACGTGCGCTCTGGTGAAGCTCTTGTGCCCAGACACAGAAAGAGCAGAAAGGAGGCCACACACAGCCTGTTCTCTGGGTCCCATAGGTGTGATCCGAGGTCACTATCTTAGCCTTCTGTATCATTTTCACATCAGAAAGAATAAGTCCAGGTGGCATTTGTTCACAGAAAACAATCAGCATATCCAAGCAGACATGTCCTCCAGTGAGGTCAGGGACTTAGACCGAGCTCCAAATGGGGCCTGTGGATACTAGGTCCATGAAAGCTGAATTCCAGCTGGGCCATATGATGTAATCTGTGCTGTCCAGGACATCCTGCCTGACACCCAAGAGTCTGTAAATGGCAACATCATGCCTGGTGCCGCCAGCTCAGCAGTGGCCATCAGAGGCTACTCAGGGAATGCTGGGCTGAGCCTGTGAGCACCCCCAGTCCCCTCCTCCCTATTCCACAGAAACCTTTCCTGATCTTGTTTTCAGTCTGATTCTTCCTTGAGGGTAACAGGAGCTCAAGAAATTCACAACTCGCTAAATAAGACATACAGGGAGGACCCAGAAAAAACCAGAATTATCTTTTGGAGAGCAGGTTTTTTGTATTACAGGCTTCCCCCACTAGGTAAGTGTTCTAGGAATCTTCGGCATCAAAGTATCAGCTAGCATTGTTATGAGAGGCTGCATTTGGCCTCAGTGAATTTTGCTGGAGATTCTTTCAGTGTGTTTGCCCATTTCGTGATGGGCGATTTACAAGCACACCTACCCACATTGTGCTGAGTTTTCAGCAGTTTTTGACCAAAAACAGCATGACCCTTGTGCCTCACCCTGCCTATTCACCCCATCTCACCCCGAGTGACTTTTTTTGTTTCCCCAGATGAAAAAAGTCCTCAAAGGGAAACATTTTGCTGATGTGGAAGAGGTGAAACAAAAAATGGCAGAAGCACCAAAAGGTGTCAAATTGACGTGTTCAAAAACTGTTTTTAGCAGTGTAAAAAAGTGTATATCGGTAAGTGTATTGCATCAAACAGAGAGTACTTTGAAGGTGACTGAAGTTTAAATATGTGAAAATAAATAACACAATTTTTTATAAATAAATTCTGGTTTTGGGGGTCCCCCCTCATATATTTCATTCTGTTGAACCCCAAACACTCTTGAAGCCTTAAGGACACCTACGCTGGCAAGACCAAAGAGGAGCCCATGGAATGGGGGCAGGTGGGGACCCAGCACTCACTCCTCCTCTGGCTCCCCAGTGCAATCAGGTAGTCGCTGCCCCGCGGGGAGGGCAGGTCGGAGCTGGTGATGACCACCGTCTCTGGGCCCAGGGAGTGCAGTACGTCCATCACCTGCCGGTGGCACAGGGAGAATCAGCCCGGCCATGTCACAAGCACACTCCCCCACACAGGCCCGCATGGTTGACCAACATACTCTTACAGGCCTTAGTATAAGGAGGTGGGACAGGAGAGGCTGAAAACCTAGAAAGCAGTACCCACTAGGCACTCAGAGGGAGAGTCATAGACTCCAGCCTCTTCTGGGGTCACTCAGAATCTGAAGAGTCCTGGAAGGGCTCAAGTGCTGACAGGGGCCCATGTGGCTGCCCTCAGGTGACCAGTGAGGCCCTCCTCCTCCCCTTCAGGCACTGAGCAGGTAAGTGGATGGACAGGTCCTGCAGGCTGGAGGAACTTTCCTCTCTTTACGCTGGCTTTTTGTAACTCTCCTAGAAGCTCCTGTCTTCACTGTGCAATTGCCTCAGCAGTATGTGTGACCACACGGGGCACCCTTGCTTCAGGGTTAAGTGTGGGGTGGAGCTGTGTCACCAGCCATATGCATGCACACATGCATGTACACACAACCAGAGGGTGCATCCTCACCCAGCATATACCCACAGCAGAACCAGGACTCTGATCCAGGGTCAACCAGCTCCAAAGCCCCTGGCCACGACTCCAGCTCAGTAAAAGGCCTCAGAGTGGGCAGAGTGGCCCCTGCAGTCACCCCATTCCCTCTGCACAACAAAGACAGGCTCACACCGTGTGGGCCCAGGTGTGACCAGGCTTCGGCGCCTGCAGTGTTCACCCAGAACCGACAAGGCTCATTTGAGCACATTTCCCAGGCTGTTAATTGAGAACTTGTGCCTGGTGTGGGCTACTTGGGAATGCAGCCCAGAACAGGTAAACTCCTGCTACAGCATAAACACATCTCCTCCAAAATTTACACTGACACTTCATGCCCACGGTGGTAGTATTAAGAGGTGGGGCCTTTGGTGAAGGGACTAAGTCATGAGGGCCTGCCTCTCATCAGTACCTTCTGGAAGGGCTGAAGAGAACAAGCTCAGGCCCCTTTCACTCTCCACTTCCTGCCATGTGAGGAGGAAGTGACCAGGCAAAGTCTTGGAAGCAGAGGGCAGCTCTCATCACATACTGACCTGCTGCCACCTTGATCTTGGACCTCCCGGCCTCCAGAATTGTGAGTAACACATTTCTGTTCTCTATAAATTACCCAGTCTCAGGTATTTTGTGAGAGCAGCCCAAAGGTCTAAGGTAAGTCATCCAAGGCTCAATGCTGGGTGATACCCATGGATGACAACCTGGGAAATGTGCTCAGATGAGCCCTGTTGGTCGTGGGTAAGCACTGCAGGCACTGCTCCATCCACTCTTGAGGCCTTTTACTGAGCTGGAGTCATTGCCAGGGGTTTTGGAGCTGGCTGGCCCTGGATCAGGGTCCTGGTTCTGCTGTGAAACCAGCATGGGAGGGAAAGTAGAAAGGAACTTTGAAGATGAGATCACACCGAGAGCTGTAGCATCACCCCCTGTCCTCCTGACAGCCTGCCCTGTGGGTTCCAGGCTTGTTCAGCAGCCCCCAAATGGCACAAGCCTCTGACTTGTAATACATGCTCATACAAATGTATACATGCACACACATATCCTCCTGGTCTCTGGAGTCCCCTGATGGGCACAGATTGTTTTAGGTCCCTGTGGGGAGAAACAACTCCATGATACCACTGGGGTATCTGTCTCCTGTCCCTCAGGTATGTGGCTGTCCTCTACCCACGGTGGGCAGTGTGCCCTGCCCCATCATGGGCCTCGGAAGACCTCCTACCGCTAAGGCTTCTTCCTGGCTGTGGATCTTCCGGCCGCTCAGTAACCTGCAAGACAGGCAGGAGGGGACAAGCAAGGACAAGATAAGCATCTCTTCTCTGGGGTGTGTGTGTCACATTCCCCAAACCACAGCAGCTCTGGTAACCACTCAGCCCCATAGGAAAAAAGTTCAGCGTGTGCTGGTCATCACAGGCTGGGACCACAGTGACCTATGGTTTGGGTGGGTTAAGTGTGAAGTTTTGTTTTGTTTTGTTTTGTTTTTTGAGGCAAAGTCTCACCCTGTCTCCCAGGCTGGAGTACAGCGGCACACTCACAAGCTACCACAGCCTCAACCTCCTGGGCTCAGGTGATCCTTCTGCCTCAGCCCTCCAAGTACTGGAACTACAGGTGTGTACCACCACGCCTGGCTAATATTTTGATTTTTTTGTAGAGGCAAGATCTTGCCAAATTGCCCAGGCTGGTCTCAAACTTCTGGGGTCAGGCAATCCTCTCACCCTGACCTCCCAAAGGGCGAGGATTACAGATATCAGCCACTACACCCGGCCTAAAGTTTGGTTTTAAAGGGAATTCTCACATATGATAGGGGGCTGGTAAAATTCCAATTGTGGTTGAAGTTTATACATAACAGAAGTAAAGAAGAGGGAGCGCACAGCCCCAGCAAGGGTGACCTATGTCCATGGAAAGTCAAAGAGCTGCATAGTTAATGCACCACATTCCCATTAGCCCATCCAAGGCTCAGGGGCCCTAGGGTAAGACATCATCCTCCAGTTAGGTCAGGGAACCCCCAGCCTCCAGGTACCTCCACCCCTACATGAATGGGAGGCCCAGAGGCAGCAGGAACACAGTTCAAGGTCCAGGAGGGCTAAGCTGCGATGGGAACCAGCCCAGTCTGCAGGCAGCTTCACACTTCACAGCACTGGGAACACATGGCTTCCCCTTGGTATCTGATTCTGCAATCAATCAGGCGGGGCCATACACCCGAAGAACGGCCTTTTGAAACCTGGTATTGGGCACTTGGAGGAGAACGTGGGCCCAGCACATACCTTTGAACCTTATGGAGCAGTCTGGGCAGCATCCTGCCTGCCTCAGTTGCTGCTGCTGCTTTCCATTACGGCATATCCACCCATGTGTGCCCTCAGCTCCCCAGGGCACCTCTTACCCCTCTCCCCGCAAAAGGCCTTGCTGTTCAGGAAAGCCGTTGAGGCCAGCAGAACAGTCTACTTCACCTGCTGCTGCTGCTGCCACCAAAAGCAAGGCTTGGCCATAGGCTCAAGCAGACAAGGGCTTTCCCAACTCAGAGGACCCCACCCGCCTAAGGGAACCCCACCCCGCCTACTCCAGTACTGCCCAGAGCACGATCCTTAAGCAGGGCCTTTCTGAAGGCCACCTTGGTAGTCTGAACAAGAAGCCCCAGGGCAGATGTGCAGATGTTCCAGTATGTTCTCTGAAGTTCCTACTGCAGGGAGATCTGGGAGCTCCAGCAGCTTAGAATGACTTACTCAGCCTCAAACTGGTTGGGAGTTATAATGTCTGCCACCGGCACCACTTTTTCTCTGTAAACCGGAAGGAGGTCCTCTGGGACGTACTGAAGAACAAAGGAGACAGGAGCAGAAGCTGACTCACACAGAAGAAAATGCACCAGAAAACATGCACAAAAAGCCCTTCTGGTACAGGCTTGGGAACCGGGGGCCCTGCCATGAGATGTGGGCCCTCTGACTGTGGAGGTGGGATGCTCCTGCTACAAAGGCAGTGTGTTGTCAAGGCACATTGGAGCTGAGAACCCAAAAGGTCCCGAGGGGTCCAGAAGGGAAGGCTTTGGGCACACGGTAGATGCCTGCAGAGGGTACAGGATGAGAAGGAGAGGAAGACCCCATGCCCATGAGCTCAAAGGAAGGAGAGAGGAAGGTGAGAAGCAGGAAGACCCAGAGAGTGGGTAGCAGTGGCCCTGAGTATGCTGGGAGGGGTGGGGATGCCTGGTGATGGCCAGGTGTCCACCTGGGACTAGGAGCCTAACTCAAGTGCTCTTCTGGTTATAAGTCAAAGCACCTTTGATCTACCCATTTTTTGTCCTAAGTTGCCCAACAAGCAATTCAACAGATTTATTTATAAAGGATTCCAAAGCCAAAGTCCGACACAAGAATCTGAAAGAATTCTGTATGCTCTATGGGAGATTTTACCAGTCCCAGGCTGAACAACCTGAGATTCAAAACCCTCCCCACGCTTTGTCCTGGGAAACTCCCTTGAAGACCAGAAGCCACCTCCCCAGATGTACCTCTGTGCCTGGTGCACACAGGGTGGCCATATGTTGGCCATGGCTCCAGACACAAGCCTGGGAGGCGCTAAGGATGGATGAGGGGTAACCTGAGCACCCCGGCCCATAGGTTTCAATTCATCGGGTATGACCATGAACTCAAAGAAAGGATCTTTAAGGTCTGATTTTGGGTAAAAGGACCCAGCACACCCCCTTTAACTTTATGTAGAAACTTGAGATACGGGATTTCACTACTCATCTGAATCTAATACGTTAACTCATGTTTAGGACAGTCTTGGCTCACAGGGAACATAAACGTGATCCAAATCAGGAGGACAGTTCCCATGCCCACAATGAACTGCACAGTGACCTCCAGTCTCTATTATCCAAACATAAGCATCTGCTTTGGGTCAGTCAGGCCCCACCCTTAGGGAGCAGCACAAAGGGAGAGCAAGAGAACTGCAAGCTGGGATCCTGCCGAGAAGGGCACTGGTGCTGGGACCTTCTGGAAAACAGGTACAAGACAGTAGACACACAGACAGATGCTAAGCAAACCAGCCCACCTCACCTGGTTAAATGCCCACCGATACAACCTGACCTTGACTACTGACCCAGTGGGGCACCAAGAACATCAGCTTGGGTGTGCCTTGTACAATGTAGACAGCCGGACAACCCAATGCACTACACTCAGTGAATTTACAATGAGCAAACGGACAAACTGGATGACAACCACAAAGAAGGTATATGCTGACATCATTTGAATACCAAACTGCTGAGGTTGAAAGTCCACAGGCAGGATAATCTTTGAGTTCTTTCCACCTTGAAAATTCTAGCCTTGTATGTCAACCACAGTGGATTTGAACCTCAGCTACTTTATCCAGCATCCAGGGCAGTGTGCAACCTCCTGCCTATTTTTGTGCAGCTCTGGAGCTAAGACTGATTTTTATATTTTTAAATGGTTAGAGGAAAAAAGATTTTTAAAGAAGTAACACTTTGTGACACACGAAAATGACAGGAAATTTGAATTTCAATGTCTATAAATGAATTGCTACCAGAAAACACCCAAACCTGTTTGTGTATCTATCACATTTGGCTGCTCTGGTGCTATGACAATGAACAGCTGCACCAGGGACGTGTGACCTGCAAAGCCCGAAACAGCATGAAGTCACTCACCATTGAGCCTTCACCATTCCACTTGTCACCCAAGACTGGATCACACACTGTGGAGACACAGGTATCTCATCAGCAAAAGCTGTCGTTGACAAGTAACAAACCCCCAACATTTTGTTCTTTTTCAATTTAACTTTTTAATATGGTAAAAATATACAAGGAGGCACTCAAAAAAACTAGAATTTATTTATAAAAAATCGTGTATTTATTCTTACATGTTTAAACTTAAGTCACCTTCAAAATACTCTCCATTTGATGCAATACACCTATGGAAACACTTTTTCCACTGCTCAAATGTTTTTGAATTCGTCAGTTTTGATGCCTTTTAGTGCTTCTGCCATTTGTTTCGCCTCTTCCACATCGGCAAAACGTTTCCCTTTGAGGACTTTTTCATCCGAGGAAACAAAAAAAATCACTTGGGGCAAGATGGGGTGAATAAGGAGGGTGGGGTACAGGGGTCATGATGTTTTAGGTAAAAAACTACAGGACACTCAGTGCAGTGTTGGCAGGGGCATTGTCATGGTAGAAGAACCAGTCCCCTGTCTGCCACAACTAGGGACATTTCTTCTACAGTGCAGCCTCTCACAACAATGCTAGCTGGAACACTGATGCCAATGGGTTCCTAGAACCTAGAAGGGGAAGTCTGTACTATAAGGGGCCCGCCCTCCAAAAAATAGGTTTTTTTTAGGGGGGTCCTCCTCATATAACATAAACTTTTAACTTATAATTTTTGTCATTTTAACCATTTTTCTTTTTTTAAATTTTTTATTTTTAAATTTTATTTTATTTTATTTATTTATTTTGAGTTGGAGTCTCACTGTCGCCCAGACTGGAGTACAGTGGCCACTCCTGGCCACCGCAGCCTCGACCTGCTGGGTTCCGGCGATCCTTCTGCCTCAGCCTTCCAAGTAGCTAGAACTACAGGCGCACGCTACCACTCCCGGCTAATTTTTTTGATTTATTGTAGAGATGAGGTCTTGCCTGCCCAGGAGGGTCTCGAACCCACGGGCTCAGGCAATCCACTCACCTCAGCCTCCCAAAGGCGCGGGATTACAGGCTGAGCCACCAAGCCCGGCTCCATTTTTCTTTTTAAGTCAGGGTCTCACTGTGTCACCCAGGCTGGAGTGTAGTGACACAATCACGACTCACCGTAGGCCTCGAACTCCTGGGCTCAAGCAATCCTCTCACCTCAGCCTCTCAAGTAGCTAGGACTATAGGGGTGCACCATCATATCTGGTTGACTTTTTGTTTTTTCATAGAGATGAGGTCTTACTACATTGCTCAGACTGGCCATGAAATCCCGGGCTCAAGCAATCCTCCTGCCTCAGCCTCCCAGAGTGCTAGGATTATAGGCATGGGTCATCATGCCTGGTCACATTTTAACCACTTTATGTGTATAATTCAGGGTCATTAAGTACATTCCCATTGTACAACCATCAACACTATCCATCTCCATAATTTTTTTATCTTCCCAAACTGAAACTCTGTTCCCATTAAACACTCACTTCCCACCACCCTCTGCCTGAGCCTGGCAACCTCTAGCCTACTTTGCACCTCTGTGAATTTGCCTATTCCAGATATCTCGTGTAAGCAGAATCATACAATAGTTCTCCTTTTGTGGCTTCTTTCACTGAGCATACTGTACTCAATGTTCATCCATGCTGTAGTGTGTGTCAGAACTGCCTTACTTTTAAAAGCTGGGTAGTGTCTCACAGCATGGATGGCCACATTTCATTTATCCACTCATCTATCAATGGACATTTGAACTGTTTGCACCTTTGGTTATTGGGAATAATGCTATTAAGAACGTGGGCGAACAAATATCTGTTTGGCTCTCTGTTTTCAATTATTTAGAATGCACACCTAGGATGGACCTGCTGGGTCATATGGCAACTTGATGTTTAACTTGCTGGGAACCCGCCACACCGTCCCACAGCAGCAGCTCTATTTCACATTACAAACAACAATACATGAGGACTCGGACTCTTCACATCCTCGCCAATACTTGTTAATTTCTATTTTTTTTTTTTTCATTATAGCTATCCTAATGAGTGTAAAGTGGTATCTCAACACTTTATCTTTAAAATTTTTTTTGTAGAGATGGGATCTCGCTGTGTTGCCCAAGTTGCTCTCAAATTCCTGGCCACGAGCGATCCTCTCACCTTGGCCTCCCAAAGCACTAGGATTACAAACATGAGTCACTATGCCTGGGCTCAATATTTTATTTTTGAGCTTCACAAACACATTAAGGCACAACTAAGCACATGATCTTCCATGGTCACATATCAGGTTACCCACCACTTCACATTTCTCTGTCCAAGATGTCTAAGTGCTCTGGTTAACTCCTATTAGTTTCTGATCCTCTGCATCTTTTCTATGAGCAACATAGGACAGTATTTTCTCACCACCCAAACAGGTGCAATAGCCCCTTCCTTCTCCTGCCACAGAACACCAAATCCAGACCTCACATCATCTGCCCCCCGACAAGCAAATTCCCTTTGGACAAAACAACACACTGAGTCAGATCTGCCGTTAGGCCAGCAGAGGGTAGGGGGCCCGTGAACCTCAAGAGAAGGACTGCAGTCTGCAAAATTGGGTGATGCTGCCCCTTCTCCCAGGTGAAAAGATGAACCCAGGGCTACCTGGCCTCCAAGGAAAAGTTTTTCTATGCAGACACCCCCAAGACTCAGTAGTTGTGGTCTTGCCGGGTGTTACCTCCACCCCCACCCTCTTCATGGTCAGTGTGGTCACACACGTCTGATGGGCTGCCTGGGCACTCCTGGGCCTTCATGGACTGATGTTGATTATTAGCATACCAATGACCCTTCCTCTCTCACATGTCCCATATGAGACCCCAGGTTCACCTTGGAAACGCTTCTAAGCCCTTGCAGAGTTCTGAAGGTAAACATCCTTAGGGATCCTGCAGACACAGAGCCTGAGCCTCCGGCCTGGAGAGGGAGGGCATGAAGGAGGGGTCCTGAGAAGGAGGAAGCCTTCACCTGGCTCCCAGGCCAGCCTCACTCCAGAAGGTGGCAGGCCCAGAGCCATTAGGCTCCACAGCCAGGCCTGAGTGGGTTCCACGCCTACCGTACACGAGCCTGGAGTTCTGCTGCTTCAGTTCTTGCACGATGTCTACCACCATGGCCAGGAACGACTTGTCTCGCGTGTAACCTTCAGGAGAGGAAAACCCAGGTTATACTCTGGAAACAGGAAACACATGGGACCAGCTGTAGCAATAAGAGAAATAAGCACCAGCAAAATGTTCGAGTGTGGAGAGGCAGGGACAGGTCTGAACCTCTGTAGCCCAGGCTCAGAGGTGTCCCCAGCAACCTATAGCCACAGAGGGGAGAGCTGGTATTTCTCAAGAGAAATGCTGAGTCTTAAAGAAATAAACCCACAAGTGACAGGTATAGGTGTGATTTTTTTTCCTTTTTCTGTATTTCCACTTTAAATAATGAGCATATGTCATTGTTAACCATGTATAACAATACAAATTGTTGTTGTTTTACCAGAAGTCAACAAAGAACATCAATGCATAATACAATACAAATCGTTGTTGTTTTACCAGAAGTCAACAAAGAACATCAATGCACCAGGTGGCAGCATGTCACTTACCCAAGCATTTCACCTGTGACCTTTCCTGCCCCAGGAAGACTATCCAACACCCTACCTGTGCCCTCCCTGGGCACTAGAACCCCAGCGTGGAAGCAGGAGTGGTCCTTGGCACAGCTAAGACAGTCATTGTGCCAATAAGCAAATTATAGCCAGGACTCCCAAGGCCACCAGAGGCATGACAGTCCCAGGGCATGCTGAGTCCCTCCTTGAAGGAGGCAGGGACCAGAAAAGGGCCTGGGCGGGGGTGCTCAGGGCCTTCCTGAGCCCACCTGGCTGTAGTGGGGTCCACAGGCCCTGTGCCCAGCTCCCTTCAGACCCTCACCTGTGAGCACGTAGTCATATTTGTTCACATTGTTCAGCTTCAGGCCTTCATACAACTCGTGGAGTTCATCCGAATTCAGTACTTGGCCCTTCCAGTGGGCGTAGCCTAGGGGCACAGCAGAGGCTAAGGTGACCAGGAACATGGCGTTGAGACCACAGGTCTTCCCCTGACAGCCAATGTCAGCCCCAACAACTGCCTGCTCTCCCTGAGGATGCCAAGTAGAGGGCCCTTCCACATGGGTGACATGAGGTGCAATGAGACCACCCAGACATGGTGACCTGAAGGTCCCCAATATCTGTCTGTGTGGACACCTCAAGCCCTGTGAAAGCACACCTGTCACTGCACTGTTATTATTACTGATATCAATGTTCCCCACCCTTCCACTGCCAGTTCCTACAGGAATTAATTAATCCAGCAATAGGGTACTTGGCTCCTAACATACCTGCAGACACCTGTGTGCCCACATCCTATTTACAGATGGGACATGTAAATTTACAGATCAGACATGCACCTAGGTGCACACAGCTTTGTCACTTCTCCCTGTCTTTGGCAAAAGTATCTTGGGGCACCTTCCACCCCACATCACAGTCTCTTGTTTCCCAGCCTCTGCTGCATGATTTTCCAGCTATCTAGGCTGAGTTGCTCGGTCACTCTCACCTGGGTACCCTGGCAGGTAAGGGTCTGTCCTTTCCTAACCCAGCCACTACCACCTCCCCCCCAAGTTTATTAAATTACAAGGTAAGCAAGTCTTAGAGATCAGGTCCTGACCAAGAAATAAAAGTGAAAGAGAAACAAGCTTCAGCCCAGGTGTACAACCTGTCCTCGCCCTGAAAGGTAATAATGGTGAAGCATCCAATCCAGGCAGACAGACACACAGCTGCCCTCCTTCACCTTGCTCTGCACCTGCAGGGGCTCTCAGGCACTTGTGGCCTGGCCTATCCCTCCTGTGGCAGACTGGAGACCCCTTTCTGTCTAGGACCCCTCAGGACAGTCAGTCTACCACCCACTGAGAAGGTCCCATGGAGCACAGGAAGCATCAGTCACAACAAAACCCTGGCCCCTTCCCTCATCCTGGAATCCTGATGCAAGAGAAAGCCCAGTCTGTGCAGATGTAGAATGAATGCTGACCATGGCACAATATCATTCTCAGAAATAAACCTAATTTCATCATGTAATGTCCAAGATAGTTTAGGAAACAAGAGAAAGAGAAGGAGGAAGAGAGGGAGGGAGGGGAAGGAAAGAAAAAAGAGAAAGAAAGAAAGAAAGAAAGAAAGAAAGAAAGAAAGAAAGAAAGAAAGAAAGAAAGAAAGGAAGGAAGGAAGAAAGAAAGAAAGGAGAGACAGAAAGAAAAGAGAGACAGAAAGAGGAGAAAGAGCTGGAGAGAGAGAGGGAAGGAGGGAAGGAAGGAAGGAAGGGGGAGGAGGGAGGGAGGAAGGGAGGGAGGGAGGAAGAGAGGGAGGGAGGGCAGGCAAAAGGAAGGAAGGAAGGAAGGCAGGTGAGAACATGTGAGTTTCAGAGGCTCCTGGAGGTTCTCCAGCTACTTGGGGTATCTCCAAGTTCAGAGCTCCCGGCACGTTCAGCAAGCAAAGACGGGAAAGGACTGTAGTGAGAACTGGAGCCTGTCCATCGGAATCAGGCAAGAAATGCTTTCCTCTCCACTTATAATTTGGTATTGCTCCCGCTCCCAGGAAAAACCACACCTGAGAGAACTCCAAAAAGTCCTTCCTAAGGAGAGTGCCAAAGCCCCTTCCGCGTATCCTGTTGGCACTCTGCCAGGCTGTTTCTGGGACATTCTGTGCTCCTGAGGTTCTGCCTGGGTTCAGAGTAATTCCAGGCGAGGACACATGGGGGTGTTTCAAAGAGCTGGACAGCTTTGTTCTCCTGCCACCGGGCAGCACGGAGACTACAGAGAGTAGGGCTCCCAAGGCTGCAGGGCAGGGGATTGGGGGGAAAAGCACTCACCCCAGGCAATTTGAAGGGTGTCTGAGGTCAGCAACCCTCAGTACCCTGTGAGCCAGTGAAACCCTTAGCATCCCTGTGCACTGAGACAGACCCACACACAACCCCACCCCCACTGAGGCACTGTTGTCAACAGAGAAAATTCAAAACCACCTACACGTCCACCCGTGGGATGACCACATGCAGGCCCCTCCTCACACCCTAAGGTGTATCCCGGGTGGGAAAGGTGTGTGGACAGACATCTCCCTGCTGTCATCACACAGACAGCAGCAGTGATGAATGAGGGTGAACACTTGATGCAATTTCCCCAGTTAATTCTTGCAACCTTATAGAAGGTGCTAGGATCACCATCCTGTTTTATAAAGAAGGAAAACAATTTTTTTTTGAGTCAAGGTCTCACTCTATTGCCCAGGTTGGAGTGCAGTGACTTACTCATGTCTCACCGCAGCCTCAACCTCTTGGGCTCATGTGATTCTTCCACCTCAGCCTCCTGAGTAGCTGGGACTACAGACACATACCACCATGCCTGGCTAACTTTTTTATTATTTTGTAGAGACGAGGTCTTGCTATGTTGCCTAGGCTGCTCTTGACCTTCTGGGCTCAGGTGATCCTCCTTCTTCAGCCTCCTAAGTAGCTGGGATTACAGACATGCGCCACTACACCCTGCTATTTTTTTTGTAGAGATGGGATCTCGTTATATTGCCCAGGCTGGTCTCAAACTCCTGGACACAAGCAATCCTCCCACCTCAGCCTCCCAAAGTGCTGAGCCACCACACCCAGCCTGAAGATGAAAATTGAGAAGCAAAGAGGTCCCACTACCAGCTCCAAGTCACATGCTGAGACACAGCACAGCAGGGCACACACACAACCTCAGGCCCTGCGGTCTGATATGCCACCAGAGTTTTCAAGGAGCAACTCTGCCAGACTCCATTTCCCCCTCCACACGAAGGGTGGCACCCCAACGTTCCTAAAAAGTCATTTCTAATACCCACAGCAAACTCCACAGTGGCTACTGAGGCCAACATCTTACCTGTGTGGTTTGAAAACTGGACAGAGTTCACTGCATCAATCTCAAATCCCAAGACCTGCAAGAAAGAGAAGGAACGTGCGTAAAATACTCAGGTTCAGGGTCCCATTCACCCACAGCAGTACCCCAAAGGAGACTTGAGTGTCCCCTCAACAGAGGGGAGTGGCTGAGGCCAGTCAATGCGAGGCCCCTGGTACAGGCTGGAAGAGCCACACACAGGGAGCAGGAGGCTCCCCCCAAGTCAGCTCAACACTGGCATATTCAGTGGTACCCAGTGGTGGTGTTCCCTCATTCTTTTTTTTTGTTTTTGAGTGGGGGCTCACTCTGTTGCCCAGGCTGGAGTGCAGTGATGCACTCATGGCTGCCACAGCCTCAACCTGTTGGGCTAAGGTGATCCTTCTGTCTCAGTCTCCTGAGTAGCTGGGATGACAGGTGCATGCCACCACACTTGGCTAATTTTTAATTTATTGTAGAGACAGGTCTAGCCAAGTTGCCCAGGATGGTCCTGAACTCCTGGGCTCGGGCAATTCTCTTGCATCTGCCTCCCAGAGTGCTGGGATTATAGGCATGAGCCACCACACCTGGAACCCCTCATTCTTTATGTAGGAAACCCCTTGGGCAGACACCAGCCTGAAGGCCCAGGGAAAAAAGGTCACACTGCCAAGCATGCTGAAGTTCAGTGGAGAAGAGCTTCATGGGTCATTCTGGAAATCCTACCGAATGAAAGTCCTCAATGAAACAAATACAGCTTCTGGCTGTCTAGATACAAGGGCTGTGAGGCAGTTGCTGCACAAACATGAAAGATTCCAGCCCCTACCCCCATGAAGAAGCAAAGTCAAGGGCCCTAATGGGCAGTACAGCTGACTGCTCCTTCCCATCAGCCTGGCTTAGATGTGTGATAAAGACAGATGATGAATGTGTGACGGGCTAAGATGGACAGAAAATATGGGGGGCAGAAAAATGGAGAGTGAGTGTGTGAAGGATAGAGAAGAAAGAGAATGAATGTGTGAGGGACAGGGAGGGAGGGAGGTGGCGATCCGTGGCCCTCCCCGTGCCCTCTGGCCCAGCTCTTGCTAGCTTGGTTGCCATTCTTCCTTTCTCTTGGTTACCAAGTCCCCAAGCCTTTTTCCCCTTCTCCCCTTACAGCAACCATCTTCCGGGTCCCACCTGAACACTGAACAACAGGGTGTACTATCTCTGAGGTCACTGTGGGGTACTGCCCGTGGAGGAGGCATGTCAGTGAGTGGCCTCTGGGGCAGGTCACATTCTATTTCTACACTGGGTGGTGTTCACTTTGTGATAATTCATTCAGCACGGGCTTATGATTTGTATTCACCAAGCCTTTCTCGAAAGCCAGTATTGTCACTAAAATAATGAAACAAACATTAGCAGTCTTATTAAACTAAGAGGTTAAATTGGCACTATGCAAATGTGCTTGCCTGATTTTATTGCCCCTCTGCCCAGCAAACTTGCAGTCTTTCAAATCCTTTCAAATCCTCATCAACTCTGAAGGAACAGATTTTAAGCAGCAATGACACAAATCCTGAAAATCCTGCCAAAATATTCTGCTCCACTGCTTCTGGGTGTATAGATAATTAATCCTTTGGGGCTGGCAAATGCATCTGAGAATGAAGTCGCTATTTTTCTGCTTTTAAATGACAGAGCTAAGCTCCTGGGTTGGCATCTCTATTTCAAACAGTACCATCCAAATCAGTTCATGAAGTGGTATCCACGCTGGTTTGGCCGTTTCCAGAGCCCACCTAGCAAACTGCATATGCAAAACCAAGCTAGGCTCAGGAGAAAGGATGATGCTGGGGCTGGGGATCAAGGTCCAAAATGGGAGCCCTGGACCCCAGAGACAGGGCTTGCCCTTTGTTAAATCTGTCCTTCAGCTCAAGCCTGTACTCCTATGCCCAGCTCTGTAAAGTAGGGGCTGGGACGGGCGACAGCATCCCCCTGCACAGCAGTGGCTCCCTACCAGGCTCTGGCCGGAGAGAGGGAACATGAAACTGAAGCTGGGGAAGAGAAGGAACTGCTCCTGCCAGCTGGCACTGTTCCAGCAGCGCCAGTTTCTTCTTGCCTGGCACTGATGATCTTTCCTGCAGCAGCAGCCAAAGTCTCTCTGTGGCTTTTTCATCACTTATGGGATTCCTCGCCAAGGCCCCTGTGGGTCCCTGCACAAGTCTCGGGCATGTCTTTCTGCCAGCTCTAAGTTTTTGTTTTTTTGAGTCAGTCTCACTTTGTCACCCAGGCTGTAGTGCACTGGCAAGCTCACGGCGACCGCGGACTCGACCTGCTGGGCTCAGGCAATCCTTCCACCTCAACCTTCTAAGTAGTTTGGACTACAGGCATGCGCCACCATGCCCAGCTAGTTTTTTTATTTATTGTAGAGACGAGGTCTTGCCTTTCTGCCCAGACTGGTCTCAAACCCTTGGGCTCAGGCAATCCTCTCACCTCTGCCTCCCAAAGTACTGAGATTATAGGCATTAGCCACCACACCTGGCTCAGCTCTAAGCCTTTCCTCTGTTATCCCCCAGTGCCAATAGCTGAAAGCTGGTGTGGGCAGGGTCTCCCTCCCTGATGCCCTTGTGTTCCCTTTTTGCCTTTTCTGTCCTCCCAATCCTGGGCTTAGCAACTGTCTCTAACATAATTTTTCCGATTTCTCATTCTGGACTGGATCCTGCCTGATATACCTTATCTTCCCCAATCCCCAGGAGCCAGAGACAAATTGATTTTTGGTCCAAGGGTCAGCACAGTGCCCTGGACACATGAACACAGCAAGCAGCTGGGTTCTCCCCGACATCCACCTACTGACCAATGCACAAGGCAGGTCCAGATTCCTGGCCCTCAGCACCTTCTTGGGAATCACTTCACATGGGGACAGACAGGTGTCCAATGAACCCTACTGACCTGGGCTCAAGCAATCCTCCTTCCTTGGCCTCCCAAAGTGCTGGGACTACAGGCATGAGCCACCACACCCAGTGCTACAGTAAACCTCATACCTCCAGTGGCCTCACACTTCTGAGGGAGGCAGAACTCCAAGAATAGTCTGCAGTGGCCCCACTCACCGTTGTGAATCCCACTTTGCATGGGAGGTGAAACCTGTAACTGTAATGAGAGCACTCCCATGATGAGGTTACTATCCAGGTACATCTAATCTAATGCCATGAGCCCTTCAAAAGCAGCCATTTCCTCAGGCTGATAGGCAGAGGGGAAATCAGAGCGACCCAAAGGGAAAGTAGGATTTGATGACTTGTTGGCTTTGAGGATGCACCAGACCACGAGATGAGAATGAAGCTGTGGAGGTCAGGCTTATAATGAGGGGGACCCAAAGAACCCTGGGATTATCTTTGGAGGCCAGGCCCCTTGTAGTACAGGTTTTCCCAGTAGGTAAGTGCCCTGGGAACCCATCAGCATCAGTGTACCAGCTAGTTGTGAGAGGCTGCATTAGGCGTCAGTGAATTTTTTTTGGTAGCTTCTTTTAACACATTTGCCCATTTCATGATGGGCAAATGTACCTGCCCACACTGCGCTGAGTGTCCAACAGTTTTTGACCAGAAACGGCATGATTCCCATGCCCCACCCTCCCCATTCACCTAATCTCACCCAGCAATGTTTTTTTTTGGTTTGTTTCTTCAGATGAAAAAAGACCTCAAAGGGAAACTTTTGCTGATATGAAGGAGATGAAACAAAAAATGGCAGAAGCACAAAAAGGTATCAAAATTGATAAGCTCAAAACTGTTTTGAACAATGGAAAAAGCATCTTGATAGGTATACTGCATCAAATAGAGAGTACTTTGAAGGTGACTGAAATTTAAACATGTAAGAATACACGATTTTTAATAAATACATTCTGAGGTTTTGGGGTCCCTCCTCATATACTGCCATTTTTAAAACTGAGTCATAAAACTTAACGATTACGTAAATTATCTTGAAAGCAAATGCAACATGCAATCTAGCCTCGCCGCTTTCCCACTAGCTTTGGACACTTTACCGTCATCGATTTTCTATTGAGCTTCTTACGCCCACTGCAACCTTGTGGAGAAACACTACCGATGGGGTTGCCATACGTGTCTTTCCAGCTCAAGCTTATAGTCTATACTCAGGAATGGTGGAAATATTCACACCACGGACATTGGCAATACACACATAAATCAGCCCTCCCCTCACCTGCCCCCAACTCCAAAGCCACTTTCTAAACATTTGCCAGCACATAGTAAAATGATATAAACAAGACTCTTCAGTCTTATATCTGTCCCATATCTGCTGTGACAGCTTGCTTAGGCCTGCAGAATATCACTTCATTCCCATTCCTGTGATAATCTTAATGAGTCTCTGTACTATCATTCTGCCCCTGGCTCCCCTCAACATGTGCTCCCACCCTGACCTCCAGACGTTACCCCTCCAAACCCAGCCTTTGGGAGTCTGTTGCTGCCCCTGCACATGGGATGAAGCCCAGACTCCCAGCCACATGCCCCCATGCAGCCTTATTGCTCCCCATTCCCTGAATTCTATCTACGTTGGGGCTGCAGTGCCGTCGGCCAACCTCTGAACCCCCAAAAGCTCTGAGGCCTCTGTGTCTTGTCTGCTTCCCTCTCTCAACTTAGACTATGCTTCTTTCAGCCTCCATGACCCTGCTGAAGACCTTGCCTTCTTGGTCCCTGCTACGGCATTCTAGATGCCATGTGGGACTCTTGGGGGCTTGGGGCTTCCGGTCTTCCCATATGCCTCTGAAGTAATACCAGTCCTGACCAAAGCCTGAGGCCTCAGGCTGCACCTGTAAACCCATTCCAGAACAGTCTGGATGTCTTGGCCAGAAAAGTTGACAGGTCAAACTCCTGCTCCCACTCCACAGTGAGCCATGACCTCTAGTTGAGGACGTTCTGGCAGACTAAACAAGTAACAATACAAAACTAGTGCTGAGCACACAGGGAGCTCGGAGGTGGGAAGGATCACAAAGGGTCACAGCCAGGCAAAGTCAGAGGAATCAATGTAGTGGCAGTGACTTCTGAGCTGCTGAAGAAAGAGACATGCAAATGCAGGCGCCAGCCCCATCTC